GCGCTATCTATTATGCAAGCTGCGATGTGAATAAATGTTTATTGTCATGCACGACTGTTGCAGCCATTTATATTAGACGTTGCATATTGCACAGCTTGTCTATACAGCCCTTCCACTCTCGCAATGAAGCGGCATAGCATTGGTATAACCCACATGACGTAACTGTCAGGCAGCAGAAGGCACTTGGCACAGCGAATGCGATTAATTAGCACACTAGCTGATAGATGTGCATCTGCAATTAATTGAAAGGGTCAACTATGACAGTTGGCACCCAATTGCACGATTTGTGCAGCCAGTCGCGTCTCCAGTATCTGACATCGGCATCAGAAATCAATCGTTGATTGGTGGTAATCATCAATTGCTTTATGAGCACCTCGATTTGCCTAGCCACTAATTGCCGACAATACCTATCTGCAATTAGCCTAAAGGTGCTAGGTCAATTTGCATGGCATTTCATGTTTAAGAATGTGAAAATTAAAACAAACGAAGTAGCTGCTATTAATGGAAATCCTATGCATCCCGGCACTTAACTCCTTTCATTTCATCCACCTATTCCACATCACTTTCACCGATGCTACCATTAGTTACCCCACCCCACCGTCCCCATCCCTCCTTTGTCGGTACTCACGTGCACTCGGCGTGGTGGCCGCAAAAGAACGGAACCGTCAGCTCGGGGTACTGGTGGCCATTGAGATAGGTACACTCGGTACCCGACGTCTTGAGACACTCCTCCAGTGTTAGTGACCAGCCGGGGGCGGCAGATGGAGGAGGCGAATAGCCCCCCAGCACGCGGTCATGGGTGAACCTGGGGTCACGGGAGGTCAGAGGTCAGGGATGACACTCGGAGACATGCGATGACACTTGACGAGATTCAGAAACAGCCGGCGATGAGACATGACGGGAGATGACAGGCGGCCGGATTTGAGTCTGCGTAGGGTCGGCGCCGGGTCAGTGTGAGGCCAGTGTGAGGTCAGATCGAGGTCACAGAGGTCACAGTTACGCCGAGCCTCCGGCACCGGAACACACTGGAGACTCTGTAGCTGTGGAGGCCACCATTGTGGTGTGTAATTGGCCGCTGGATGGCGTGGCTGTGGTTCTGGCTATGAAGTCGCGGTTTAGTGGTGCCCTCGAGGTCGTGACATCGGTTAGGGTGAGGATTCCCGGCTCTGATTAGTATATTGTCATCACGCTGGCGTGACAGATCCAGTTCGCTTGATTTTTAGTTGTTATTGGCCTTGATTTTATGACATATTCTCTTGGTTCTGTTAAGACCAGTTCCTATATATTTGCACCATTTTCTGTTATTATCGGGAAAAGTGGTGTGATCTGGTGAGCTGCAGTACCGTTGTTTTGCCCATCCCATATTTTAATTTTTAGTTTCAGCTCTCAGGCTCCATACACTGGCCGTCTATTCTAACGTCCCATTCTCGTTTTTACCAGCCTGGATCCTCAACTCAAACCACAGCCCAGCGCTTACCAGCCGCAGACCAATTGAAAACATGTGGTCAGAGGGAGAAAGCTATTGTTTGTCACATAGCCGCGGTCTTGGCCGCGGTCGGACCTTTCCCAAACCACGGTTCCGTATTGGATACACGGATGGCTCTTAGCCGTGAGTTAAAGGTAGTGTGCCAGCTTTCTTGGACCGTATGGAGTTAATGGCCCAGATAAGGAGAACCGGATTTTTAGAACTTATCCATACCTTCAAAACTCATGGAAACGGCTTAAATTCTTCAAATTTTGAGTACCCCAGTGCGAAATTCGCCCCGACGGGTTGTCGGTCGTACCCCAACCACATTTCACACCACTATGAACAATAAATGCACACACTGAAATCGCTATTACCGATATGCTCATTAGGGTGTGTCATCGAGGGGGTGATTCTCGCAGAATCAAACGCCGTAAGGTTTTTCCTTGGCACATTGATCAATAATGAATTTTCATCCATATCCGAGTCCACCAAAATTAAAATTCGTGCGGCGCCAGCCGTTCAAAGTTTTGGCGCCCGGCGTTGCAGTCTCCAATGCTGAGCGTCACCCAGCACTGCGAGTAACACCAAGTATTGTAGGAGGTAATAATGCAAAATAACTGCCGCTGAAAATGATGCTTTTGAGCGCTTCTAAGGCTGATTGTTGCAAAAAAGCATGTCCTTAGAGTGTCCATTTATTCTTTTTATTGTGCTCAATGAATTAAATCGAGCATGGCTTCTGAAACTAAAGAAGAAGCTGCCCGATTTTGAGAAGCGGGCGGGGTGGAGGCGGAGACGGGAAGTGACTCAGATGCGTCTTCTGAAAACACCGACTCCGTGGCATCCTCTGGGCGGTGCTTCTTCTTCTTCTTCTTCTTCAGCATGTCATCTCGTGTGGCCCGGCCCGTCTCCACCAGGATGTCCCGGAGGCTGCGTCGGCAAAGGGCCCCACGGGCGGGTCCGTGGCCCCTGGTAGGCGGGGTAGTCGACCAACAGGTGTTTGGCCGAGTCCGGTTCGTCGCAACGGACTTTCTCGTCAGACTCGGCCGGACCGAGTCGGAATCGGGTGTCTCCGGTGAGTGGGGAGCAGCTCACGCGGAGCTGTGCCACTGTGATCGACGCTCGGCGGTCCAGTTCTCTCTCCGTGGCCCAGAGCGCCACATCGTCCGCATTCGCAGATGTGTACCTCCAGTTCCCGAGCCGCAGTTATAGCCGGTCATACGAGCCTGCAGGGTTAGCGTCCGATGGCTGCGTTGGTCCTTCAGGAAGACAGCCTCCTGCTGAGTGACTCAGTGGGCGATGAGACTTGTGCACCTGCTCTGAGAGTTGCATTTGCATTTCGCGATATCCAGGAGTTGTTGAATTATGCAGTGGCGGCGCTTTGCTGGTTCCCTGTGTCGTGCTATAATTGTCGTATGGGCATTTCCTAATCAGCTACGTTTTTTTCGCCTCGTGAATTATGATCCGGATAGCATAGGGCCCTGCCGAAAGTGACACGGCCGCGTACAAAACATTTCGTGATAGGACAGCCGGCACTTTTGTCCCAACAGCGACTGCTGACTAAAGCAGAGGCCTTCAGTTATGTCAGGTGGCTGAGTGCTCAAAGAAGAAATCAAACAAATAGTGCATTTAGGGCCGTGGCGAAAAAAGGACAAGGCAACTCTGAACTAATGAAGGAATCCCTGTTCGCGATCTATGTAAAACACACGACGAAAGTGATCAAAAGGGACTGCTATAAGCCCTACAGACAGCCCTACAGACTTCTGAACAAAACACCAGAGACACAGGAAGGAACAAAGCGCCGCCACTGCATAATTCAACAACTCCTGGATATCGCCAAATGCAAATGCAACTCTCAGAGCAGGTGCACAAGTCTCATCGCCCACTGAGTCACTCAGCAGGAGGCTGTCTTCCTGAAGGACCAACGCAGCCATCGGACGCTAACCCTGCAGGCTCGTATGACCGGCTATAACTGCGGCTCGGGAACTGGAGGTACACATCTGCGAATGCGGACGATGTGGCGCTCTGGGCCACGGAGAGAGAACTGGACCGCCGAGCGTCGATCACAGTGGCACAGCTCCGCGTGAGCTGCTCCCCACTCACCGGAGACACCCGATTCCGACTCGGTCCGGCCGAGTCTGACGAGAAAGTCCGTTGCGACGAACCGGACTCGGCCAAACACCTGTTGGTCTACTACCCCGCCTACCAGGGGCCACGGACCCGCCCGTGGGGCCCTTTGCCGACGCTGAGGGAGATCCTTTCCACCGAGGCTGGGCTCATCCGGGACATCCTGGTGGAGACGGGCCGGGTCACACGAGATGACATGCTGAAGAAGAAGAAGAAGAAGAAGCACCGCCCAGAGGATGCCATGGAGTCGGTGTTTTCAGAAGACGAATCTGAGTCACTTCCCGTCTCCGCCTCCAGTTCCACCCCGCCCGCTTCTCAAAATCGGGCAGTTTTTTCTTTAGTTTCAGTAGCATTGCTCGACTTAATTCATTGAGCACAATAAAACAGTAATTGGACACTCTAATGACATGCTTTTTGCAACAATCAGCCTTAGAAGCGCTCAAAAGCATCATTTTCAGCGGTAGTTATTTTGCATTATTACCTGCTGCAATACTTGGTGTTACTCGCAGTGCTGGGTGACGCTCAGCATTGGAGACTGCAACGCCGGGCGCCAAAACTTTGAACGGCTGGCGCCGCACGAATTTTATTTTTTTGCAAAAACGGTTGCTATGCCGTGTGTTTGCAGGTCTCAGTGCCAAGGAATTTCTTAACGGCATTTGGTTCTGTTACTGATGACACACCCTAATGCTCATCCAATCAAGTTTCGATAAACCCGTTCATCATCAGCTCCTGCGGTTTCGAACACGCCTGTTAGTTGGCTTCTGATGCTCGTCGAGGTCGGAATTTCCAAATACGCGTGGTGCGTCGGGCCGCGCGCTCTGACTTCGGCCAAGAAAAATGCGTCAGCTGATCATTGTCATTTCTGCCACTTACGTGTGGTGAAATGGGGTCATAACTTATAAGACGGCTTTTTCATATCAATTATTTTACATAAAATCATATTTCAAACCATAAATAATGTTCGACAGCCAAATAAAAGAAACAATACCAATACGGGCTTACAGTTTAAGGCTCGACATTGTGTTGTCTACGATTAGACAGCTGATAACTCATTCCCGTACGTCGTATGGTCGTAACACTATAATGACCTTTGCTTATTGTCACAAGTGCGCCGCATTCGCGATTGTTGCCCGACGCCTGTTTGCAGGTGAGCCCACTACAGTTGTTATACATATCTAAAAACCGATAAACTTTTAGGCGAAAAAGGCACTATTCCAGGCCCATTTTTGATTTTTTTTTGCGATATTAGGTAAAAACAGAAGCTTCTTATCCTAGGAAAAATAAAATGGGAAATCTTTCAAAGGTGGCACACTACCTTTAAACGATGGTCAGTAAAACAAATCAACGATTTACATATTCTAAAACTTCCAAAGCCTCTTACCAGATCTCTGATTTGACGAAGCCTTCTGCGGAATGCAGAGTGAAAACGAGTGTAGGCTTCACTTTCGTATGATAAATGAACAAATATGTTCAAACCGTCCAACATCGAACGATAGAGATCGCTGAGATGACCTCAGTGGATAAGATCTAAATCGACCAACTCCATAGATATCTGGGAGCGGTGGGAGTCCTGTCAGCAGATACTAAATGGTGGAAGCGAGATGGCTCTGAAATCGGTAGGTATGTCATAAATCACTAGATGAGAGTCAGTTTTGATTTGTAATCGCTCATGGTCGCTGATGTCTGGTGATAGAGCCGACACGCGCGGTTGATGGATCATATTTCATGTCAAATTGTTTTGGACGGAAATGTTGTGATGCATTCGATAACCATTTTTTTTTTTACAAATGTGTCATAACTCATAATATACCCACTCGTCGCGAACGCCAATATAGGTAAGGGAGAAGGTTTTCTTCAGTGCACCGACTTCAATTGAACTTGACAGGATGATGCTGTCTTAATTACACCAGCATGCCTTTTCACACGAATGTTAAACTCAAATCACCGTCTTAGACTAAACTCACACCTTGATTTGGCCACATCCGCATGAAAACATGCCTTATATAATGACTGGAAATTTCCTAAACACCTGAACGGAAGCTGAGGCTGACGGCTGAATTAGTTTCATAATGGCGTAACGTTAGGATTAATGCCCTGCATAATTGCTCAGATGAAAGTTAATGGTGCATATTGCACTACTGTTCACCTCGGTATGACCCGGTACCGTCTCCCGTTCCTGTCATTGCGGAATAATTGAGCGCTTAACCATCAGAGAACAGGAAGGACATGTTTATCGTGGCAATGACATGGCGGTGCACACAAGCAATCCATTCCAATTGCGTTACTAACGACTCGAGATTACTGTCGATTTTCCAGTGGCCTTGTTTCGCTCATCAACATTGAGCGATCATGTGACAATGCAGGGAATAAGGGAAGCATCTCTTATGTCTTCCTTGCATTTTACGCTCTATACTGACACGCAACCAAAATAAACGAAAGATGGAAGAAATTTCAAACACAATGAAGTTTATAATCCTAAGTTACGCGCTCTGGATCACTGACCTTGCCATGATCCTGTCGATGGGATCCCGGATCATGCTGAACCGGAGCGGCAGGGAGGCTCCGTGCTCCACAAAGTCCATGATGTAGGCGGAGTGGGAGACGCAGGCTCCGTCCGCTCCGGTGTCAGACAGGGAGGCCATCTTCTGTACCAGCCGCTTCTGTGGAGGAGATGGGATGGAGAGTGGTGAGAACGGTGAGTAGGGGAGCGGAGAGGGGGTAAGAATAGTGGTTTGGAGGAAGGACGGAGTTCGAGAACATGTGTTTGAGACACAGCGTATAAACTGAAGAGATATGTTCAGGAGCGTTGATCGTGATGAGGGTGAGACGGAAATTAGAAATAAAAAAGGTTCACGAAAATACAAAACGAGGTAAAATCAAGGGTAAAATAACGGTGAAACAAAAATAAAGGAAAAGCTTCAGACATATTTGGTCATGTAGGGCTGACTAACCAAAAGCAAACCATACACTACTGGTTCAATGTCACCAACTGCCAGCTGGAAACTGACATCGAGACGGAACACGGCCGGTTAGGCATTGTCCTCTCGGGACATTTTCCGTTTCAACTTCTACATTGGCTAACATCCACCCAGCAATGCCGCCTGGACAGTACATACAATGAGAGAAACTCGAACCCTTTGTTACAGTTAGTCCAGCACTGCCGGAATCTCGACTGGTGTCCGGAATATATAGCTCCGGTGGCCGAACCAGTAGCCAGACAATATCTCACATGCCGGGAGTTCCAGTCCCGTTTCAAAGCCCACGGACCGGCGTAAGAGAGCCTTAGATGGAGGAATGTGCGGCAAGCTTGCCGAGTTTCTGAAATGTAATGGATATTTTCTGTCTGTCCTTGGTATGGGTTTGACAGGTAAAAGATTGATTGTTCAGATATATACTTGCATATTTTGCCATGTGTGTGGTTATCAGATTGACTGATGATTAACATATGGATGCTAGACAATAGAGCGGTCGTTAACCTGTTCTCTGATGTAATATTTCACATCATTGACTGATCCACTTCCCCTTACCATAGGTAAGTACACTAGCATGACGGCCTTTCCTTTATCACTCCGCACACATCGTTAGTATTTCTCACAATCATGCAGCACTGTGTACCTAATAGTCTCTCACATTACGGTATCCCCTTCCGGCGACCCGTACCGACGTCCCGTAGCGGCGCACGCGCACTTCCCACACCCGAACTTGATCACGGGGCCCACGGCGGCGGCCGTCAGTCTGACGAAAGTGAAACTGGTGCGCCACGCCGCCGGCTGCGGGCTCGGCACGCGGTATAGTGGCTCCCTGACCGGTCCCCGTGGGCTGAACTGGACAGTAGTCCTTCCCAGGAACGTGGGTGGGAGTGACCGGTCAGGGCGGGGCGGGGTGAGGCAAGGCTAGGTGGATGGGGGAGTTAGAAAGTGAGCAGGAATAAAGTTAGAAGCTGGAACAGCACGTATGGAATGAATGTAGAACGGAAAATATGTGGATGGAAAAATAAAAAGGGAATTGGTTGTTTGAGAACGTGGATAAATATATCAAGGAGACATCAAACAGATGAAGTTTGGGATAATATTATCTTTTTTTGTCAATAGTGCCGTCATAAAAGTCTCCCAATCACAAAACAAAGCAAACGTCTTATAATTTGTTATTCTTACACTGCCATCAAAATATCCCGTTGCAAATATAAAAAACTGCATTTTTTAGGAACGTTTCATCATGGTCTTGGGCCCAGAGAACATCATACACTCATCGAAAACCAGAAGAAGAAAAAAAATTGCGATCTAATACCATACCTACGTTCAGATGGCCCACGCCTAGCAAACACGATATGATAACATCACCGACCGTGGTAGAACGCAGTTACAGCGATAAGTGGCCAGAGTACGTGATCAAATGCACCAAGTGACCGCCGAGGCCGTTATAAGATGATCCAAATACTGTGTACTCGTCGGAGCGAAGATGGAGCGACTCCGCCCGCGGCGCGGCCGGACCTTGGGGTCGTCTGCCGGAGCTTTGACGGTCCACCAAATTGGGGAGTAGCATGTGTAGCATGTGCTGTCAAGGACAGACCCAGTCCACGAATAGGTGTCAGTGTGGATGCTCAGATATTAACCACTCGCATAACATGCTGCACAATGCATATGCCAGTTGTCACTGCACCATTCGCATAACTAAATCCACGGGAGTTAGAAAGAGTCTCATCTGCATCCTGCTGGCGTCTGCTGTCTATAAATGCGACTGCTCCCATTCATATTTGCAATCACTGAAGACGTACTTACAGACCACTGATATCCATTTTATACTACCTCTCAGACAAATAATACCTTGTATTTCTCACCATGACAGACGGGAAAAGGTGTCAATGCCATGTTATGTCGACTGTTATTTGTTACGCCTGCCTGAACGCACACCATGTTACAATGGTGTTCATTATCCTGAATGAGACTGAGATTTTCTTATTTAGCACCTTTTTGTGTAATGATGGGGGAGAGGTTGCCTGTTCAGTGTTCAATGCCATGACGCTGTCACGCTAGCTCAGCAAAACGCTCTCTTTGTGTTTAGCTTGCCGCTTTGTCACATTTGCTAAAAAGACTGTGATTTTCAATTCCCTAGTGATTTATATCTATTTTTGTTCCCAGCTGATAATAACTTGGCGTCGTCTCGTCTTCAGATAAGTAGGCTTAGCATGCCACAAGTCGTAACCGGCTGTGTTGCCTGCTACCTACTATTCTGCCTCACGCATCAGGGCGGAACTAAGGGATGAATGAAAGCAGCCGGACAAACAGCTCACATACACACAGACAGCCAGGCAGGCACGCCCACCCTTCTTGTTTTCCAACTCGACTCGTACGCTGTTAGCTGGTCAGGTGAGCCACTTTCGCTGCTGTTTTTACGCTCGACTGAACTAGTAGCGCCGCTGCCGCCTGTGCCCGTACCGTGAGCAGATGCACGCAAAAGCACATAACTGACTTCCTGATCATGCACACTTGTTGTATTTACAGTGCATGTTTATATGCAAGCTACAAGTGAGTAGTTACGCATTGGATGATACTAGGGAAGGGGTTGGTAGCCTGTCGGCCGTGTAAAATCCGATGGCTTCCCACATGTTGACTGTTGAGTAACACAAAGTGGACGGTCCGACGCCGTTACTATGATGGAATGTCTGCTGGACTTTTGACGCCTGATTGTGTCACGACAGACCACGCCCTCGGCGAAATTCCTGCGTGATGCCCGTAACGTCCCTGCGTAACATCGCACCGAGACATGTCTCAAGGACGGTAGCGTAACGAAATTGTCATGGATGGCGCGCTTCATCATCTCGTTTGGTCAGTTTGTGAAATCATGTTAGCAAATAGCACTTCACAGTAGGCTGTCCCTAACTCAGATTAAAAGTGAATAGCGAATACTCGTGTAGCTTTTATAGGTAAGTGCTGCCCATATAACGGAAGAATGTTTGTGGCTTACACTTCTTTTCAGGTATATTTTAGTTTCTAGGTCCACCCTGTCGGTTGCAAAATAGACAAATAAATGAATAATATTATTCCGGTAAATAATCGTTTTACAACTGAACGACATTCAGAAACTAATGTTTATTCCGGCAGGTCGTGATCAGTTCTCGAATATTCATCTTGAGGTGAAATTACACCTGTCACTATCCCTACGTGCATAGGAACTCTCCACCAATTACATTGATATCATTTTCCAAGCCATGCCTGCAGCCGACAGCTGCTGCCACAATAGACGCGTGCGGGGGAGACATATGGTACGGGAAAACGGGGCCACATCGACCGCTGTAGGCAGCTGCAATGTGTGGTCGGTAATGATCGCGCACTGGAGCTGCCTCAGGAGAGAATGGGAGTGGAGAGATTTTACTCGAATGTTTTAGTAAAATCTTAAATTTTCATTAATTTTTCGTAAATGTTTCGATTATGTTACTCATGTTTCCTGCCAGACTCGAATTACTGAAACGTTTTACAATTAGCATCCCTGTGAGATTAACGACAGCAAGACAAGTCTGTCCGATATCTTCCCGCTATCTAAATTAGGCAATAACGATTCGCTCCAACACCTGAGGCCCATAGCTCTGTATAGAGAGAGTGGGCTGGTTGGAAAGGAGAGAGAGAGAGAAAGAGAGAGAGAGAGAGAGAGAGAGAGAGAGAGAGAGAGAGAGAGAGAGAGAGAGAGAGAGAGAGAGAGAGAGAGAGAGAGAGAGAGAGAGAGAGAGAGAGAGAGAGAGAGAGAGAGAGAGAGAGAGAGAGAGAGAGAGAGAGAGAAGGAGAGACGCCCTGCCCCTGCGGTGTGCCCGAACAATGAACACTCCAACAGCTGGTGCATACACAGGCAGCCTGCGTGAGATGACAGCTACATATCTCCCGTCCCTGCCTCGGCTGCCAACAGAGCACCGAGCGGGGAAACTACCGACAGCATATGGCCACTACTGAGCACGGATACGGCGCTGCTGAAAGGGCCTCAATGCGGTGCTGACGTATGGGATATCCAGCAAACGGTTCAACGTGAGTCTGTGGAGATTTGGGGCGATTAATTTGATGGTTAAGCCTGAGCAAACCTTGACAGGCTGGTGGAAACCGATAGCATTGAGAATAAGATACAATTCATAGCGATAGACGGTTAAAGTGTTAAGAGAAAGCAATGAGCTGTAAATGCTAGCACCTTGCTTCTATCTTTCCTTTTCAGGCAAGTAACTGTTTTACATGTTTTGCCGGAGCGTCCTTTTTGCACCTGCACTTGTGTCTTGCTTGTGGTTTTTGCGGTCTAACGGCCCGGCGAAATTCGCTCCAGAAGAAGTACGTCCGTCTTTCACACAGCATCACTTTGTAGATGCCGACCAGGATACTGTCCCACTCCCTATTACATCCTCTAGAAAGCGGTTTGATATGAATCGCGTTAGTAGGCACTACATACAGTACTTGTCGTTACTATAAAGATTACAGTTTTCTTTTATCATGAGCATGTTCTTCACATTCTCATCACCATTACCATTATCATCGTTCCATAAATAGAGCAAAAACTTCTTCTCCACTCCATATGCAGGGCATCAGCCTCAGCATCTGGGTCTGACTACTTTCACGCCACGAAAGTTATCTATCCATTGGTCGTGTTGAGCAGATTAGCTGGCAAGCAACTGGTCCCCGAGCCGATTGGTGAAGGGTGATGATCGGGTGTGGTGGTGTTTGGAAGGGAGAGAGAGAGTGATAGATAGAGAGAGAGAGAGAGAGAGAGAGAGAGAGAGAGAGAGAGAGAGAGAGAGAAGTAGAGAGAGAGAAGGAGAGAGTGAAGAGAGAGAGTAGAGAGAAAAATGAAAGACAGAGGATAGAGAAGAGAGAGAGAGAGAGAGAGAGAGAGAGAGAAAGAGAGAGAAAGAGGGGTAGGATAAAGAGTGAAGAAAGGCAGAATGAAAGAGGAGAGGTGAACCATTGAAAAATTAAACATCGAGCTCGACTGCAGTGAGGGTGACCGCGTTGTTTCTCTCTGCAGCCTCTCTCTCTCAGCCGTCAGACTCAGTCAGGGCCTCACTCGGTCCCTGTAACCCTGAACACTCCTGTGATGTATATGTTCAGATTCGCAGCGCAGTCGGAGGTCTCATTCCGGTCTCATCCATCACAGGCGGGCAGTCGGCGTGAAGCGAGGATAACACCCATCTGTTTTCATTTTTCAGCCGGTCAGAATCAGTAGTGTGACTCTAGTATTAGTAAGGACGGTCACATATGGTCGTAGGAATCCGGAAAAAAGACAAAGGACATACTAAACTCGCCACTCGGCCTTCAAAGTGGTGGCTGTGGTTAGATTCAGATAACGTTCCCTTTGTGGTATGGAAAAGGGAAGACAGCTTTGATCGCTCTCCTTTTTTTCTCTCTCGCGTCCTTGATAAATGCGCCATCCGTTGTGATCGATACAAGGTCTATCATTTTTTGAAGTCTCTTTGTGACCTATTTATCTGCATGTTTGCGTACCAAATAGTAATCATTGCCCCATGCGTGGATCGTGATGGACAGTTGGTTTAGATAACGTCAGTCCAGCGCTGAAACTGTTTAGATTCATTTAGGTCAGGATTCTTATCTTTGGAAACTATGAAGGTCCATACCTGTGAGTAGCAGTTTGCTTAACCTTCTGTATTTTCAACGTTTGATCAGCAACGTTATTAAATCTTATAAGCACAAGTAATCAAAGTGCAACGGCCATAGACTTCAAATGCCAATTGAAGATCAACAAATCTTTATTTCTCAATCTCTATTTTGTTTGAAATGTGCATTGTTTCCAAGACCTAAACACACCACTTTTCTAATGCTACAAGCTGTGCCACCGGAATGCGTTAGAATTTGTGTCCATTAGGTACTTACGTGACCATTACTATTTGACACAATGTGGCGCGAGCCAGACTAAATAACATCGTCAGATAAGATCGGAGAGCGGAGAGTACCGTGAGCCGCCGGTTACGTCATGCCACACTTTCGACAGCTAATTATCTGCCCGTGGCTGAGACTGCCGCACCGAATGACGACGACCCACTACAGCAGCGCCGTACGCATTTATGGTATTCACAAATACCTAAAATAATGAGGAATGAATACCAAAAATACAGGTGTTAGAAATGCCTACGAAAAATAGACACCAGACACTTAGGTTGTCAAGTTGCCGGATTCGAACTTATGACAGGCACCAGTTAGGTAATTGCACTTTGAATACCGGTAGCGATGTAATGTCTACCTGAAGCAGACCTCTCACTCAGCGGCCGCGAGATAAAACAAGAGTGGTTAAGGTCACAGAACCACCGTGAGAGTCAGTCGCTGACCGCGAGGGTCAGCACAATAGCCGGACTAGGTCATCCGTCCAAATTGGCACTAATTACCACACGCTCCATCTGCGAGACAATGAAGAGCTTAGCGACCCGGTCATCAAAACCGCCCACCGACCTGGCCACCTGACCTGGCGCACCTTCTCGTCAAAAATCCATCCAAAGGCCGCGGCCCCAATTCATCAATTGGCTAAAGCTGAGCTACGTGAGCCATCAAAATCCCCGCACCTTCAGCACTCTTCGACCCCGAGTTATTGAGTGTAATCACGTGCACATGCATTGAAAGGCGCAGCCTCTCGTCACCAGGCATCCGACCACTGAGCGCGCCCGTTTTGGATGATTGGATGCCTGCTTCACGCCTCAGCCCAGATCAAAGAGTCCTACATACGCAGTCTGCCGCGTGACGTGGTCGTTACGGATGCCAGAACGTCACGACAGAATGCCTGTCGTCTTTACGTCACGCCGCTCCCGTTGGGGATGTTTTGGTGTTAGTGGCCTGTGATGCAGTCTCTAGCTAGGGTGCGGCTGCATTGAAGTCTCCGTATTGGTTTGTATTGGTGCTAGTGGCTTGTGATGAGATGCAGTCACTGGTTAGAGTGGTATGTTATATTGAAGTCTCCGTATTGTTTGTATTGGTGTTAGTGACTTGTGATGAGATGCAGTTACCAGTTAGAGGGTATGCTGCATTGCAGTCTCAATAGTGTTTGTTTTAGTGTTAGTGACTGTGATGAGATGCAGTCTACTTTAGGAGAGTGCGTTACGTTGCAGTCTTTGCATTGTGAGTGTTTTATTTGGCTACTGCTTGGTTCGCTAGTGACTTATATCCCTTCCCATGTTTTTTTTTTTAAATAAGTTTTTGAAGACTCCATCCAAATGGATACTATGTTATTGTTCGGCATGGTTTATCCTACCTGTGCTTGATTTCCTTGAGTTTTTGGATGGGCTGAAACTTCATCGACTTTTCAAGAAAAAAAAATAGAGCATCAAGTGCAGATAAAAATTCCTTGCCAGCTCTTTAACTTAAATACGTCCCCTAAACCTTATCTGTTATCACATCTCATATCTGATTTATCCCCCGTTACTCACCTGTTCCGCCGAGTCCAGCGGTCCCTCCTTGGCAGCCTCCGTCCTCAGCTGGGCGAACTGGAATCCGTTCTGTTTGGACAGCCACCGCAGCAGCAGAGTGATCACCTCACTACCTGTGTGAGGAACACTGTTAAACACCAGCAGACGTCGGTTTGGGGGCGGCTCCGTGTCCTCATCTTCCTCGTCCTCCTCATCATCCTCGAATTCGTCCTCCTCTTCTTCAAAGGCTTCCTCTTCGTCTCCGTCGCTTTCAAACTCTACCAGGTTGTCCTCAAAATCCTCCCCGTTGTCGGAGTTAGTCAGATGACCACCCTCGCTCCTAAAACCGTCCTCGCCACGCACACTCGTTCTGTAGTTTACAACACCCCCGCCCTCACCTCCGTACCCCACACTGTCCGCAGTTTGTGCACTGTATCCCTCAATCAGCGCCCCTGCACTGTCTGTTGCCCTGCGCTCGGCCCGCGCGCGTTCAGAAGTCCGATACATCTCATAGTCCACAGGTAAAGTAGCCGGACCCGGACGTAAATCCTCCTCTGGGTTCACATCTCGCAACCACACTGAATACATCACCCATAACAGCGCGCCGTATGAGAGAACCACAACGAACGCAGCGGCACATCGCTGCACCGTCAGCACGTGTAGAGCTGCCGTCGCACCACCGGGCCGCCTCCGCGCCTCCACGAGGCGGCCCATCGTCGCGTCGGAGCCGACACGGATCGTCGGCGCCGACGGAAGTGTGTCGACGACGACGGGTGTCGCCAACGACGGCGGCGACGGCGCGGCCGGTGTTGGGGAGACCCACACCGCAGCAGGAGAGGCGGCTGAGTGGCGGCGTTCGGCGGCGAACTGAAAGACGGCGCGGGGGAAGAGCGGGCGCGCCGGCAGGAACCTCCCCTCCTCTGTCAGAGGCAGAGGCGGAGAGCAGGCCCGGAGCCGGAGCGGCCGAGCGCACCGCCGAGTGGCCACTACAAATGGGTCAGCCTGCGCGCTGCGCGAGCCGACCGTCCGCTCAAGGGCGCCGTGGCGAAAGTGTGAGTGGTGTGGCCGGCTCGGAGAGCTGCACTGACACTGCCGGAGGCGGGAAGGGGCCGCTGTCTGCCGGCCGTCACTCCTCTGCCGACTGCCGCCCAGCGCGCCCGAATCGGAATCGGACGTCTACATCGAATTTCCGCCCTCCGCCGTCCACCGTCTATTGTCCGCCGTCCATCGTCTACCGTCTATCCTCCACTGTCCGTTGCCCATCGGTCAACCATCTAACGCCTGCCATCCGCCTTCCAACGTCTACCACCCTCACTCTACAGGTAGTCCACCGCTCAACGTCTGCCGTCCACCATCGGTAGACAGCCCACCTTCCACCGCCCGGTGTCTTCCTTCTACCGCTCAACGTCCGGCGTCCACCGTCAACCGCTTACAATCCGCCGTCCTACCGACTTCCTCAGTCTATGGGGACGTGTCCCCTGCCCAGAATCAATCCCTCAGACCTCAGACAAACAGCTGAGTGCGGTCACGGGCGGTGGGACGGTGATTTATGATTGGAGCTAGCGTGGGAGACGGACCAACTTCCGTGAGCCCACTGAAACTGGGGAAGGGCGTCATGCTTTGACAAACATGGTGCTTAGGCGGGACTGGATGTTAAATGAGGCAGAATATGACCTTGGGTAATTTATAGATGGGTTTGAGTTATGCATGGGCATGAATGATATTACTTCGCGTGGGATTTTCCACTGCATTGTAAGCGCTATCGGCCTATTTATCGGCGAATATCTAATCGAAAACTCGCAAGTCTTGGTAACGACAACCTGCTGAAAGTCATTAGTTTAACTTTGCGCAAAGCTGAATGCGGACGTTCCCACGTGCAACAATTAAACGCGCGCGTGGCGACATTCCCATTCGTTTCGGATTCCCGAAACAGTTTCCTACACGTTGCAGGAGGTTGCAAGCACACGCTCACAATAATCAAGAGACAAAGCAGTGACGCAACAGCACTCTTCGACAGTGGGTTCTCATGAAACATGCATGAGCAGTCATATATGTTTGGTGCACCTTCAAGAAACTTAGATTATGCATGAGTATTGACCACCCAGTAATACTCTCTTCCTTCGCTCAGGGAGGCGGTCAAGGTGCCAGTTTACGCGTTTTGACTCCAAAGAATGAATACATTAGCATTGTAATTAACCCGCGTTCGTAGGTGCTTAATGAACCTGTCTCCTGGCCAAGGTCTGTCGGGCGTCGTGGCTGTCGAAGCTTCGGAGCTTTGGTCTTTGGATGGTGTGGCATCAGAGCTTTCATTGCCAAAGTCAGGGTGGTTATCAGCAGATAGTTGACCGAGTTGACGTACTTTGTGTCATTAACAAAAGAAACCTCGTTTTTATCACTCCATGTTTCATTGTAACCATAGGCGTCGCCACCACTACGGACACTACGGACAGTGTCCGTAGATGTTTTGGAAGGCCCGAAAACTTGTACGGAATGTCCGTACAAGTTTCGACGACTGAAAAACAGTCTTTGCACATGTTTTGAAGTAGCTTAACGCTTATCAGTCCCCTATTTGTGGGTAAAGTTACGATCCAAGGCAGCCCCAAAGTCAATGTCACGCAAGAGTATTTACTACTAGCATCTAGGGTGTAACGAAATGATCCGGACATTATTTGTTAGTCATATCTGTTCGCACAGTGTCTTTTCTGATTTAGAAGCGGGAATACTGGCTGTATAAGTGCCTCCAGTGTCGGTTCTCAACTCAGCAAAGACCAACCTTTGCCAGATGACTCTTGCTCTGAATAATAAGTCGAGTCACCGACGGGTTCATTTGATAGCTAGTTTTCGTCAAAAGCAATGGACAGAGAGCACACTCTCTCCTTTTGTATTAGGAAGCATGTTTGTGGCATTGCGGCAATGAGCCTGAAGCTGGTCTGCCAGCAGCTCCATGGACATCAGCAGCAGCCAACCGCACATCTGCCTGAGGCGTAATAAGATGGGACTTGATTGGTGAACTCAGCCCGGCTGCGACCGCAAAAGTCACCCTTTGCCAACGCAGATTGACTTGAATTCAAGACCGATGATAAGAGGGCCCACATCATGACCCACCGCTATCCGCCTCATACCTCGGTTCTTCTGCTCATCAAACTGAAAAAGACAACGAAATTGACGGGAAAATAGCCGGTGCACCACCATTAGCCTCACGCCAAGACGCATTCACTGGTCGAAGGAACACATAAGCAAAGCATGGTGTGGTGAAATGGGCAGCTATTCGCGCTGTATTGTCCTTTGAACCGTCAAAGCGGCCTTGTGTTGGCTGCCAGTAACTCAAACGTCCCCGGCCGTCACCGGCGTTAAACATGCGGCCGAGATCCAGATCTGGAGCAAATTCAGCTGCTGTGCGATGTTCCAGCTGTGCATTGGCCAACCCATTGACAGAAGAGTCCACCATCAGTGACGACTGACGAGTATTACCGGAGCAACATCCTGTCAGACAAATTAGTCCGTAGGAGAATGAGAAGTGACGCCGGGAGAAGCTCTTATCCTTCTGGACTAACGGACTACGGCTTGGAAATAGTTTTCATCGTAATTTCATCGAGATCTTATGGACTTTTGTCTAGCAAGAGGTGAATAAGGGGACACCCGGCACCAGGACAGAGCAACGGTATGTAGGCACATGCTAATACGGCGTCGGTCCACATCAAACCCACTGTGCTTAAAAACCCAGTAGCTGGAATGTTCTAGGCATTTCTAAATATGATCTTATGAAAGGTGGCTATATCATCATCAAAGGGAAACAACCTCAGGTTGTTTGTTTCTTAATTACAGCTGAAAGAAAGGTTTGCGGATAATGTCGTTACACTCTGTATCATTCTATAGACTAATTCACTGATACGTCAGCCATAATAATTCTGTGACTTTTGTCATCCTGAGGCTCAAACTAAACTAACTGAATGCTTAGAGCAAAAGAAAATGACAAAATCGTGACCAGCGACTTCAAATACAGCAAATGAGACTGATCATGTACAAAAGTCAACCAAAGGCCATTTGAGGTCACATAAGGTCAACATAAGACTTGACCGTTTCAAACAGTAACTATATGTCATTCGATGCATCTGGATATGACTAATGCGTTGGCACCACCTTCTTTGCTGAAGAACTCTGCAAAAAAAAACGCAGCTCGGGGTCGCTGACCTGCCATCTACCCTAATGTAGGTATCAAAAATGTGTTTGTATTTTTTCCGAAGCCCCTAGGCCCCCTAGGCATTCGGGGGCTATCGCAACTATTCGTCCGGGGTGGGAGAAAATGCCCTCCACGGGCCCGCGTGGGTTTACACCTCTGACGAGTGTTACGGCTGACAGAATGTGTCCGTACAAGTTGGGGAGCCGTGGCGACGCCCGTGCATTGTAAACGGCTTCTTCGGTGCGCGCTGACAGATGGTTCTCTAGCAATGAAGCTCTGACAGACGTCATATGGCTAGAGAACATTACTTATAGCCGAATGTGAGTCATCGCCATCGTTTGTGGTGAAAATGCTGATATTAAAACCTCAAAACTTTAGGCATATGGCGAACCGTTTAGAGATAATGGTGCTCACATGTCCAAACGGGCGTATGTTAGGTAGTGTTCATTGTCTGTCACACACCAAATAAAAAACCTCGGTGAAAAGTCAGAGAAAGCAAGTAAAGTGGGGCTCAGCCAAAGCCAAAGTAGCTCACTGCAGTGCAGGCGTACTACATAAACTGGTTCCAGCGGGCCCCGCCCTGTCTTCTCTGCACTGCAGTGCTGACCTGACCCCAGAGAGGGGCTGCTGCAGTGTCGTAACGGAGATAGGGCGGCACCTCGACCCACGGCCTACACGAATGGTGAGCCGGTCGTGATGACGTTATTAGGGATCAGCGCCAAATGGGGCGATCTATGCGCCGTGTATAATGTAACGAGTGATGGTACTTTACGGGAGGAGACGAGCAAAACGAGGAGCAAATAATGCAACAGTGGTGGCAGGGGAGCCATACAATTTGTGCCGCTGCAGAAGGCATACAAATGGTGCCCGATGGGGTCACCGTGCAATCCATGGTTAATGAATATCAGCTTCAGGAGTTGGATAGCGATTAAGTTGAACGTGTTCGGCCTAATAAATTGTTTCAGACCGTGCAATCGCTTGAATAAAAATGGTGGCGAAGGGGGAATATATTGGCTAAGACCGATGATTTGCATTGTTAAAGAAACAGTTGATAAGTAGAAGTTCAGTAAACAAAATTTGAGGTGCTTGAGGGCTCAGTCAGTGTGCGCTGTGCACGCTCTAAGCACTGTCTTGATTGCTTCATAAACCTTGTGTTACAAAGAGGTATCGTATCGCAACCTTTTTAATTCTGTCGGTTACATCAATATCTCATGCTGTCACAAATCGTTAGCTGATCACGCACAAAACGTACAGAAAAAAAACGGATCGTTATGTTAGTCTAGCATAAATAGAACTACCATCGGAAGTTCACTAGCATGTCAGACACATTGCTATTTCACCCAGTAGCACCGGCCTACACATATGGCCTTCGCCATCACCATATGATCATTGGACGGACACTGCATCTATAAATAGTGGAAATTAAATAGTGCACCCAACACATTTAAATATTCTTCTCCAATCACCCAAGAACATTATATGCACCACATCGCGACATACATTTGGCATAACATCTCAAATGATTGAACGATTAATAGCATAGCTCATGTAAGCAGGAGCACAGCTTCTATTCAGCCTCAAGAACTTCATAACAAAACTCTCGACTTATTATAGCTCTCCTGGCCGTTACAGTAACATCGTATCTCCACTTGCCAGTGGTTGAGTACCCGGCACCGTCGTTTCTAGTCGTCGAAGTCTGAGCGCCGCCGCCGGATGATGCAGCAGCCGATCTGGTCGTTCCCTGAGTCTCGTACCACTATGGCGTCCCCTATGGCGTCCTCTAGGTCCTCCAGCTGGTCCCGGGGAATGGTCCAGTCCTCGATCTCAGAGTTGTCGCCGCTGTGGGAGGGGAGAGGAAGGTGGAGTGAGGGACTATAGTGAGCCCACTAAGTCATTCCTAAATTCACACTCAGACTATGGCATTTCAGCTCATTAGGTGATGCAATCGTAGCTATAATAGCAATGGCTCGCTCAACCATGAATGGCACTGCTCTACTGTAAAATTCAATCTTATTGAAGTCATTTAGTCATACAACATTACGCATTGGCATGTTTATACAAAACCGTTTATATCAGCACTTGTTATTGAAAATAAAATAAAATGAACTCACTTGCCACTGGAGAAAATGCTAGCAATGAAGTTGGAAGGACTCGAGCAAGACGAATCAGTCGAAAGCAGAACTTGGAGCAGGCCGTCGGCATCTAAAAAGAGAAAATATATAATTTTTCTCGAGAAGAGTAAATAAAGCTAATATGTAGAAAAATGTTTGCCACAAAAATTGATATTTTTTGCGAAGTCGAAGTCGATAGGACAAATGGTAGCACTACAGGCTCAAGTCACTCTCTCCCTTCCACTCTCCCCTCCCTCCCTCTCTCCCCTCCCTCCCTTCCACCCTCCCTCTCCCCTCTCTCCCCAGTCCCTCCCTCCCTGACTCACTGTTCCTATCGATATCCCCATCGATGACCACCCGATCGTCGTCGTCCCGGTAGTACTGGGTTAGACGCAGATCCAGGCCGGCGGACGCGTCGTCCCCTGACTCGGCAGAGGACTGACATGTGGCGGATATCTGGCAACGGTGATGACACTCGGTGAATATAGAGAATAAGCGGTAAATGCGTGGCGATAGGACAGTGAGGGTTCATTGTTGAACGCCTAGAAGTTAACTAGCATTTGCAGAATGTTTCAATGTAACTTTTCTTTGATTAGTTTCCAAATGGTGAATACCCTTTTCAGATATTACCCAAAGTTTGGGTCAAATTAGTTCATTGAGGGAGTGACGGTCAGATCGAAAAATTATCAACTCGATTAAATAATGCGACAAATAATATGTTCCGCGGTTCAAGAAGCAACACACAGCCGCTTTAAGTGCTGCGCTACCGTTCGTCTCTTACCCTGTCCTCCCTGTCATCGTCGTACTTGTCTGCCTTGCTGATCTCCTTGAGGTACCACCACTTGACCCCGCCGGTACCGATCAGCGAGAGGGTGGCCAGGGTCAGAGAGATACCCAGCAGGGTGTACGAGGCGGGACTGTAGCTCATGACGAACAATGTAGGATGGAACGGGTTGGGAAAATGTAAGATAAGACGGGATGGGAATGCCCGGAAAGACTGGTGCGGACTGTGATGGATTTCTACAAATAGTTACCGAGTGGTACGGAGCTCGATGGACTTATTTGAAATGTTTTGGACTGGTAGGGGTGGAGACGACGTCGAAGGGACTGTCAAGAACTGCCAAATCTTCCGGAAATGATCCAACGATGCCCGACAATATGAGTCGTGAACGTCTCCAAATACACGTCTATCACCACATGCTGCACTAGCGGCCCGTCGAAAGTCTTAACAGGTCTTGCAAGCTTGAGCTGGCTGGATCCTGCCGGCTGTAAAATGACAACTAGAGCTTTGACAGCGACTGTGGTCAATTTAAGCGCTCATTTAGTCACGTGACCTGTGCCGCTAGGTCATGTTTCACTGCAGGTCACGTTTCATTCAGCTCTCGCCATTTTACTTGGGCAGCGTGATGTCTGTTTTTGGTGGTTGTTTGAGTTGAGTGAAGGGTGTGGACTGTAGATGCTGTGTTTCAACCCTAATCAGAAGTGATTAAATCTTCGTTAGTGGCGTAGGCCGAAAGTTCTTTATTCCCTGTGTGAAAATGTTGTTGGTGCTATTGTTTCTAACCCATTTACAACGGTTTGCATAATCAAACTGGTCGCAAAACATAACCGCATTTAAAGAGGGCTCTCGTTAAAGACGAATCCTAAGTATTAATATCGACACCTTAATTATCAGGCGTATCATTATTTCAAGTACAACAGAGTGTGTTGTATAAAAACTAAAAACAATGGGCTCTCACCAATTAAGCATAGTTAAAGTATATAAACGTTTCCATCAGAAAAAGAAAGCAAAAACGTATACCCACTTTAGTAAATCCGACCGAGGCATTGCTATCTGAATGAAAAGGATCGCATCCCAGTTTTCCAGTGACCCACATTTTGGGTGGCGGAAGCCATGCAAACATTCCTACATATGTTTACCTCAAACCTGTGAATAATCTGCAGCTTACCCGCGTATATAGGGATTAGAAAAAAATAATAATCCGTCTATATGATCGGACAAACGAACGTGCCTCGTCGGTTACCGTGGACTCTATGAAATCCGTGACTGCAGATTTGTGCCATTGCCCATTACGTGTAGGTACAATGAATAAACGTATCATTCGTCTCTAGAGGTGTAACTGTAATGAGATTACATTTTTTCCACCGGACTATGTATAAAAATGTTGAACCCAGTCTGGACTTCACTGGCCCAGAGGGTCCCCAGCGACAGGTGTTCCTATCCTGAATCATCCCTTCACTCTCCCACGCTACGTGCAGAACGGAGAAGCATTCCGCCCCAAGGGCGCAGAAATGGAGCAGGCACACACGCCGCCGCCGACAGATTGGAGGCGATCGGCGCGGCAGAAACGACTGTAACGAGTGTCTATGACCAGACTAACGGCCATTCAGGATGCTCCCAGTAGCAGATGCGGATCAGTTTGAGCTTCCAGTAATCACGTACTAGAAAGGCGACGCCAACAATTAGAGCGGCCCTTCTCCGGCTTCAGTCATTAAGAAAGCAGGTGGTATGCCAAATGGAAAAACAAGGGATGAGTGAGCAACAAACACGTTGCAACAGCAGTCAGCGGGCCAAATCAACAACGACAATTGCACGACTGAAACCACCATTCGAAGGCGAATCCGTAGATACCCGACAACCCACAATCAAATCCAACCCTTGCATAGAAAAGCCATCAGGAGGAGACAGGGATCATTGCAAGACATAAAGCAATGCAGGGAAATTGTCGGTGCGGCAAACCAAAGCTCCGAAGCTAAATGAGAACGGTATACTATTCTCTGGTTCAGGATAAGAAAGACAACCGGCAAGGAAGAACAGATGAATGTACAGTTGACCCAATGTACAGTTGACCCGGCTGCACGACCGCCGGCAAACAGACTGAAAAAAAAAGATGTTTCATGATACCGGCTCGGCAGTACACAGAAAAAAACGCAAAACATCAGCGGAAGAGTGGTAGTATGAACGGAACCAAATTGTCTGAGTTGATGAGCGGCTTAGTAAATTACACGCAAAATAGCGAATTCACAATCAAGAACCACTAAAAGAAGAGAAATCGCCCGTGTAGCTCAAAACAGCTAAATCAACAGAGAAGGAATTCGCTGCAATTGTGTCCTCGCACAAAAGCTCACCAAATCTGAAGAAAAGTTAACCGGAAATGAAACCAAGACGCTGCAGAATTTCACTCAACCCGCAAAAAGGGAACCGGTTAATTGCACATTGGAAGGATCCGCCGAATTTAAAGAGCGGGTCAGGTCACCAGAAGATGAACGTGGAACATATCTTTTTACACAGCTGAAACAAATTCAGAAGGGCCCGTTATATCAACACGGATAAATGGGCATATACTTCCAATGAAGTGTCAACTAGAGATGAAATCGTTGCGCTGCAGAAAATCGCCCAACCCCAGAGCTGCAACATGTCACTTGTAAATTTGGAAGGACCTGCTGTTTACCGAATGGATCAAGTTACCAGAACGGGTCAGGTCACCAGAAGATGAACGTGGAACATATCTTTTTTACACAGCTGAAACAAATTCAGAAGGGCCCGTTATATCAACACGGATAAATGGGCATATACTTCCAATGAAGTGTCAACTAGAGATGAAATCGTTGCGCTGCAGAAAATCGCCCAACCCAAGAGTTGCAACATGTTACTAGTAAATTTGGAAGGACCTGCTGTTTACCGAATGAATCAAGTTACCAGAAGATGAACGTAAAACCCAGCGAGTGGCCGCTTTCCGGACTTCTCGAAATCATCCACTTCAGAAGCCGGAACGAATAGCCACGCTAACAGTTTTTCCGTTTAAGCCAGCAAAGATAAATTATCTGTGAGAGATGAACATCTAGGGAGCTTGACTATGCGTCAAATTGAAGATGAGGCAAATATTGGATGTCGCCATGCCGAGACACGAAAGAACAGCAATTTTCTCATCAGGAATCTGGAGCGGTTTCTGAAGAGAAGCCCAAAACAAGCAAAGATGAGAAGTGAAGACAAATTTAAAATCAACCCGAGCTGAAGTAAAATTAACGGATTACAGCACAAGAAAAACCCGATAAAGAAGGGGAAGACCACAGCTACAGCAATACTGTCAGGTCATCCGCCTACAAAACCAAGCAAACGCCTCCAGAAAAGGATTTGCAATTGCAACTTTCGTGAAATGGAACAAGAAATTTGTATAACTAAGGCCAGAATCAAGCGAAGGAAATTCACAAAGAACAGAACATCTGAGCACAAGGCCCCTCGAAATCGCGAGAAACCAGCAAAAACGCGTCGGTGAAAGGCGACAGATCGAGAGAAAGGACGGAAAGCATAAAAAGGGGAGGAGAGACGGCGCTCCCCCTCACTGCTCCTCCGGACGTCACTCGCAAACAGTGCTCCTCCGGGCGTCACCACGCAGCCGAGATCCAGTCAGCGCTACACTTCGCAGCAGCCTCTTCGGCGACCATCGGTTGCAAGTGAGTCTGAAGCGGACACATCAGAACGCATCCTGGCCCCCTTCACCATGTAACCACGCCTCATAATTCATATTCACCCCTAGCCGCCGGTTACAATTATGATACTTGTTGGTCTTTCCGTTTGTGCGGGTGCCACCCCGGGTATGGTCCAACCCTTTGTAGACATTCACCGGTCGGGGGAGGGGGTTCGTTTAGTAAGTCTACATCGCCCACCCGGTATAGATCATACTGCGGCGCGATAACGGCGAGGCTCGATGAAATACGTCGATCCGAGATTGTAAATACGTTGGGTCAAATGTTTTTTTTTTTTCCGCGGGCGAGGTGAGCCCGCCCGGCTTCTCAGGCCCGGCAGGATATGTGGGCATTGAATTGCGCTTCAGGATTACCCTTTTTTTTGGGGGGGGGCATCAATTATGCATCAGGCATCTAGAGTGTGCCTACTCCGGTTTTTCAGTTAGTGGGGAGGGGTAGATTTTAAGCCTAAGCGGTTTCATCCGATACAAGGGGTCAATGAGTTTGAGTGCAGGAAAGATTTTGTAGCCGCTTGGGGGCTCGCTCCGCCCCAAAACTGTGTGAATAACTTGTTAGGTTACCGGTCGTTTTAGTTTTTTTTCCGTTCTTTTTTTTTTAATCATTTGCTTTTGTATTGCGAGTTTCATATCTTCTTGTTTGATTGAATATATCTTGGAAAAGTACTCATATCTGTTGGGGATATTAGGGAGGGAATGGTGAACGAGCAGACCCAGCGAGAGCGTTTTGGCCGTCGATACTCGAAAAACCAAGCGAAACATCACCCTTCACACTGCTCTCACCCGTGAGCATGCCGTTTCTTCGCGGAACACAAACACTGGGAAAACGCACGCAGTATCACGCCGAGTCGTTGTTGTACTAGTGACCGTCGTTAAAGCTCTAACTCGTAATAATGAGAGTGAAATAGATATTTGCCTCGGTGTTACTTTTAAACTTGATAATGATGAGTCACAGTTACCTCGATTTAGCGTGTTTTTTTTTTTTTTGTAAGTTATCGTAAGTACATTAAAATCTATGTCTGTTCGCGTTCTCTTCCGAATGTACAAGGATAGGTAGGGTCCACTCTCGCTTAACATGGGCGGAGTCAGCCGGCACGGCCTTCGGTGATTGGCGCAGTTTTTTTCGGGGGAAGAGGTACCGCGTAAGGGACAGGCCCAGCTACACTAATTTCGGAGAGCGCGGGAGTGACCAGGCTGACCCCGAAGCACCTGAACTGATTCCACATCCTCGTCGTCTGGCCAACTCGCGGCCGAGTTATTATCCTGCCTTAAGACACTGCAGCGCTCGAACGGGAGCTGTTTGATTGTCGTCCGGTCAGAACGGACCGGGTTATGATCCTGCCCTAAGACAATGCAGCGCTCGAACGGGAGCTGTTTGATTGTCGCCCGGTCAGAACGGACCGGGTTATGATCCTGCCTTAAGACACTGCAGCGCTCGAACGGGAGCTGTTTGATTGTCGCCCGGTCAGAACGGACCGGGTTATTATCCTGCCTTAAGACACTGCAGCGCTCGAACGGGAGCTGTTTGATTGTCGCCCGGTCAGAACGGACCGGGTTATTATCCTGCCTTAAGACACTGCAGCGCTCGAACGGGAGCTGTTTGATTGTCGCCCGGTCAGAACGGACCGGGTTATTATCCTGCCTTAAGACACTGCAGCGCTCGAACGGGAGCTGTTTGTTGTCGTCCGGTCAGAACGGACCGGGTTATGATCCTGCCTTAAGACACTGCAGCGCTCGAACGGGAGCTGTTTGATTGTCGCCCGGTCAGAACGGACCGGGTTATGATCCTGCCTTAAGACACTGCAGCGCTCGAACGGGAGCTGTTTGTTGTCGTCCGGTCAGAACGGACCGGGTTATTATCCTGCCTTAAGACACTGCAGCGCTCGAACGGGAGCT